CTTGCTCCCGTCAACAACCCCAGCCACAAAGCACGCCGCCATATAGTGATCGTCGGTGGCATGCGCATCCCTGAACATGGGATGTTTCATCAACCTTGTAATACCACGAGTCAGACTACCCTTCTTCGCATCCTTCCTACAGCAGCGAACAAAGACGTCCTCAACACTCTGTCGGAACTCCAGCATCGGAGCCTCTGGTGGGTATGGCTGGGCAAAGTTGTCCGAGTATCTCAACATCTGTGCCCAGTGATTTCTGTATAGGTTGTGTACCGCGCCACCCGTCCCGATGATCAGGTAGCCCTCGTCGCGGAACTTGGCCAAGATGTTACCCACACGCGCGTGCAGATGTGGGTCGAACCGCGAGTTCATACTGATGATCGTTGTTGGAGGGCATTTCTCAGGAAACATCCTAATGAGAATCAAGTATGTGTCGTGGATCCAGTCAAAGGTCTCATTCGGTCGCGCATCGATGCCCTTTTCTCTTAGCGCTGCTATGCACTTCTTTCCACTCTCGAGATCGGGGACGAGCTCGTAGTCTTTGTATTTGCGGGGGTGGACGTATGCGACGGGCGACTTGATGGGCTTGGGGTTCATGGCTACGTCGATGCGGTTTACGCCGCGGGCGTCCCAATGCGCGCCCATCATAATCACGCCTTTAAAGCCGTGGGAGAGGGCTTCGTCGCCGCAGGCTTTCCAATAGGTGGCGGATTGGGATTCCTCACCCAGCATCATTGTCGAGCCATGGGAGAAGAAATGGACGGGTGGCGCCATTGCGGTGTGTTGTTTCAGCCGTAGACTGAGTTGGAAGGGATGGCCAAGATAGTAGATGATCAGGTTAGATGTCCGTGTCGCGAGGTTGTGGCGGACTTGTTGCGATATTGATATCACACGGCCAAATTGGCAGACGTCGTGTCCAACACGCGGCTTCACTGGAAGCTTTACCCATTATGATCAGCGCTGTATAGGCAGTCCCAGGTGCTTACGGCGGCAAAAGTCGTGATGTGGGGAGGGTTGGAGGAGAGGCCGAGCGTCTAGCCGAGGGGAAGAAGGCACGCCCGTGTCCTGTCGATCTCCGCATTCCTCTCCACCCACAACCTTATCTCCAGCTTCCCTCCACTTTCCTCTGTCCCTCCGTCCCGATGCCATCGTTCTTCGAAGCCACCCGATAGCACCTCAGCATGCAGACTGCCCCGACATCAGCAAATGTCCAGCTAGCCAGTGCAGAAGCCGAACCACCACGCCTATTCCAGTGTAGCACCTGCAAACGGTCCTTCACGAGAGCGGATCACCTTACGAGGCACGTGAGGGCGCGTAAGTGCTTTTAGAATTAGTGAACAATGTGGTCCGTCAGCCGTGTGCCTGACTACTTGCAATTGAAGCTAGTTGGCCGTCATAATGGCGTCAGACGCGTTCGCGTCGTTGACTCGCGCCGAAAGAACTGCTTTTTCGCGTCTTGAGCATCTTGTTCGCATATGATGTTCATCATGTCCCATTCGCAATGCTAATCCAGCACTGACAGATACAAAATCTAAGCCCTACATCTGCCCCGTCTGTTCTAAAGGCTTTGCGCGAATGTGAGTGCTTTATTGCATGCAAAAAGTTATACTTCGCTGACATGTTACAGAGATCTACTCAAAAGACACGTAACAAATCACGACACAGAGCCTGCAAGCAAGCGACAAAAGCGCGAGATCGCTCGCGATACCAGAGTCGTTCAGGCCTGCGAAGCTTGCTCCCAAAGCCATCTCCGCTGCGAAGACGAGAAGCCATGCAGTCGATGCAAGAAGAAGAAGATACCCTGCCGGGTACCTGAAGTCCCGGTTACAGACGAAAACGACATACATGAGATTGATGCAGTTCATGCGGCGCAGGATCTGCTCGATTTGTCGAATGGCTTCGATTACCCCTCATCGCTGCCGGCTCACGGCGGCAGCGTCAATACATCTGCATCTACGACCTCAGAGACTCCAGAACCTTTTCACAACCACGCGACCCTAGTCGTTACTGACGCGAATACAATGCACCGACACTCCGTAGCTTCGGGCGATCTCGAGACAAGGACAGCAGGTATGGGCGACATGCAGCCACCACCGCCCAACAACGGCGGCGGCCTTGTCGCGATGAACCAGAACTACGAAGACCCGAGCGCATCTATGCCTTTCTTCGATAATTCGATTGCGCACTTTGACAACACGCCAGGGCACAATCCCTTCTTGCCAGACTATTTCCGCAGCATGCCCCCATTTGAAGCGTTCCTGTCCGGCCAGGCAACTCCCCGGGGTATCATGGACCTCAGTTTCGATCTAGATGTTGGCTTGACCGACCTTGATCTCGGTCTCCTTGATCAATACAACTTCCAGGTCCCGTTCGCTGCTGATACACCATCCACGGACGCCCATGGCGCTGAACAACCCGTACCCGAGACTGATACGGCTCCTGTAAGGGCGGAAGCATTCAAGCAGAGCATCTGGCGTTATCTCCCCCAACGGTCCAGAAACCCCACTGCGGAACAAGTCAACTTGGCTGTCCCGGACACAGAAAAGGACGGTTATAGACGTTCCAACTTCACACACCGCCGCGTCGTGGCAGAGAAGTAAGTCAAGATCCGCGATTAAGGCGCACAATAAATATATACTGACTTTAATTCTAGACTACCACGTGCCAGCCGCGACCGGCTGATGGCTTTGGTTCTCGACACCTGTAGCCGAGAGAACGTCAAACGTATCGCATCGGCATTTCCTAGTATGGAACTACTCGACGGCCTGATCCAGTATTTCCTCTCTTCGCCATCGATAGACGCGCCAACGTGGTTTCACCTTCCTACTTTTTCACCCTCGAAGTTGAATCCGGAGTTGCTTGCTTCTGTCGTGTCTGCTGGAGCGGCCACTCTTCCTGACATATCCTTGCGAAAGCTGGGCTACGCTCTTCATGAGGCTTCCAGGTTAGGGCAGTCCAAATCATTCGAAGAGGACAACACAGCTATCAGGGATCTTCAACACCTGCAGACGTTCCTGCTGCAACTCAAAGTTGGTATGTGGAGTGGCATCAGCCGGAAGATGGAGATTGCAGAGAGCTTTCTTCAGCCGCTGATGACGATGCTTCGCCGTGGTGGCCGCTTTCGTCGTTCGACTTGGAAGGAGATCAGTCCGTCTCCTGACGATCAGGGCTCTGTTTTGGAAGACAAATGGCTGAGTTGGGTCAACCAAGAGTCCTTTCTTCGCTTGGTTCATCGCGCCTTCGAATTCGATCGGCAGTCGTCGATGGCATTGCTTAAGCCACCACTGCTTTCCTACGCGGAGATGCAATTACCCTTGCCGAGTCCGAGCTCATTATGGCAGGCCAAATCCGCTGCAAACTGGAAAATGGCGTATCTGAATGACGCATCGGCAACTGCGAAGCGACCATCAGCGACCGAATGCCTACTTGATCTGGAGCACCTCACTCAACACGACTATGCCAGTTCGACTTATCTGTACCTGATGTGGGGTCCAATATGGGAATATCGTCAGATGTGCGCCTTGACATCTAGGTCACAGTCGCTGTCAACCAACAGCCTCATTCTGTCGTCGCGCTACCAAGAGCTCACAAAGCAGCTGGAAGATTTCAGGCTCAGCACACCTCCCATGACTAAGAGCGTTGAGATAACACTGGAGATGTTGCTAGTTCATCTCAATGCACCTCTCGATGACATTCAGCTCTTCGCGGGTATCGAAGGGCAAGAAGAAGCACGCAGCGCGTACCCCGGCCTTCGAGACTGGGCAAAGACTCCCTCAGCGCGTCAAGCGCTATGGCACGCTGGTCAGATCTTGCGCGCCGCTGAGGTGCTACCAAAAGCTCTGCTCAGTAACTTCAACGCCATTGCGGTGTATCATGCGGGGCTCATACTATGGGTTTACGGCTTTCTCAGACGATCCGTAACAACAGAACAGATCGACACGGCTGTTGTGCTCAACGGGGACGACTCGTTGAGCGCCCGCAAGTTCATCACTCTAGATCGTGGTATTCCAGCGATCAAAAATTCCGGATCACAACATCCCACCCATTTGAGCGATGTTTGTGGAGTCATGGACGGCTTGACACAACTGCTTCGAGCGCATCATGACGCATCAGAACCTTCTCCGCCGCTGGTCGGTAACCTGGTGCAATTGCTGGAAGGCCTGCGATCTGCCATCAAATGAGCAAGTCAGCATGTATGATGGTAATTTCGACTCGCGCATGTACGACTATATGTAGGATTTCATGAAGCGCCGGCGCATTGCTATACTTCATCAACATTTGGTAATAGTCATATCTCATCTATGAGATGTTCGGTTTAATTCAACGCCCGAGAGCCAGCCCATGCGAATGGACGACTCCCGCTTCAAGCCTGTGAATAGCGATCAAGACCATCAATCCTTGGTGCCGACCTCGAGCCCAGCGCTCTGGATGGTTCTTACGCACGTAAATGCCCAATGCTTGCTCATCACGCCAAGACAATACTGTCACTTGCAGCAAAGCCGCGCACGTTCCCCACCCGTACTCCATATGCCAATGCATCTCGCTCCATCCTTCCACCGCACAGCCGGAAAAGGTCAGATCCAAGGATTCCAAACTCGATCTCGCGCCGTCATGTTAGCTTCTCCCTTGCACAATCCGCTGCAACTAGCTTTCTCCAGATGCAAACCCCGCAAATCTTGGCCGTATCCAGATGGTCTTGGTCGCCTCCACATTCCGAGTTACCCCAGACTGGGGATGCGACGGAGTCCAAGCGTCCAATGAGAGTGTTGTGAGGCGCTATGAAGCCTGTCTGATTTGTCGACGGCGAGATACCAGGCGTAACACACCGACGTGCCTTGCAAAGGCGTGTTGTTCAACGGTTCGACCGTGCGGTCTATTTAGATTGGAGGACTATGGCCACAGACAGCTTTGTTGTTGGATACCGCTGATCGTTGGCATCGCATAATCATCTCCGCGGTATTTTTACTCGGCTTGAATCATCAGATTGCTACTAGTTCATCGCGATGACTTCTCTAAAGCAGGCGTTCAGCATCTCGAAAGAGGAGGTGAAGAATGCCCGACCGCCAGGAACCGCAACGCTGGTTGGTAAGATATCATCCACTCCCCTGAACGTCTTCCTTGCTAATGAAGCTACCATCAGAACATCTCGAATGGACAGCGTCGCAAACAGGTCACGATGAAATCCGCCTCGTGCCTCAGCCATCCGCCGACCCAGCGGATCCTCTCAACCTGCCCATGTGGCGCAAGCTCGCAGTTCTGGCCGTCATGTCAATACATCCATTCGTGGTAAACTTCACCAGTGCCTCCATCTCGAGTGCATTGCCGATCTACGCGTCCACGGGCGTGTTCGGCTTCCCGCCAAAGACGTTCTCGCAGTTGACGTACTTCATCGCGTGTAACATCCTCATGCTGGGCGCGTCGAACTTGTGGTGGGTGCCGCTGGCGAACACCTTTGGTCGCCGCCCGGTCGTTCTGGGCAGCTTGTTGCTCCTGATTTTCTCGAGTATGTGGGCTGGTCTTGCGACTAGCTTCAACAGTCTGGTGGCTGCGAGAATTTTCATGGGTATCGGGGGTGGGCCGGCTGATGCTGTGAGCCCGGATGTTGTTGGTGAGATCTTCTTTGTCCATCAGCGTGGACGTGCTTTGGTAAGTCTTTTTTCCCACATCCTTCGAGTGAACTGGCACTAATAGAACGTCCACAGGCCATATACACGGTCATGTTGTCTTTTGGCTCCCTCGTAGGCGCCGTCGCGGGTGGCTATATCGTCGCCGACATGGGCCTTTCCTGGCTCCACTGGATGAACGTGCTCCTTTCCGCCATCACATTCGTTCTCTGCCTCTTCTTCCAAGCCGAAACCCTCTACGACCGCAAATCCACCACCATCACCTTCTCCGACGATCCCGACAAGCAGACCGTTGAGACCAAAGAGAGAGTCGTTGTCGCAGATGCCGCCAGCCCATCTTCTTACCCATCTTACTCTTACGCTAAGTCTCTTCGACTCTGGTCTTACCGCCCTGGTCTCGTGCAAAACTTCCTCGCTCCATACAAGACCCTCAGACTCCCAGGTGTGTGGCTAGTATCAGGGTGGTACGCCGGACTCGTCGGCCTCATCGTCACCATGTCGAGTGTAGGACCTCAACTCGTTGCCGCGCCGCCTTATCTGTGGGGAAAGAACGTCGGACTCATCAACATCGGCGGTATCTTTGGCGCTCTTCTCGGATGCGTAAGTTCCTATAACTCTGAATCAGGTTTAGCTTTTACTAATACATTACCTCCAGGTCTATACCTACCTCATCGCCGACTTCGCAACCAAGCGCCTCGCAAAGAAAGACCTCCACGGCTTCTCGGAACCTGAGTCTCGTCTCGTCACGGCACTGCCCGCACTCGCTCTCGCCACAATCGGCGCTCTGATCTTCGGTTTCGTAGCGCAGAACCCTTCGCCTACCGGGTGGGTTGGTCTCCAATTCGGCTTCGGTCTTGTCGCTCTCGGGCTCATGCAAGCGCCCTCCGTTGGCTTCAACTACCTGATTGAATCCTACGGGGTGCTCGCTGGAGACTGCTTCGTTGCTGTTACGTGTGTGCGGGCTATCGTTAGTTTCGCGTGGACGTTCTTTGTGGGCGAGTGGGTTACGCATCAGGGTGCTGCGGAGCCGTTTGGTATCTTCGGTATGCTTATGGGTGTGTTTGGGTTGTTGACGATCCCGATGTTGATCTGGGGGAAGCGGCTGAGGATCTGGACTGCTAAGTGGGTTCCTGAAGGCGCGGGTTTGTAGGGAGAGATGTGGACCTGGGGTAATTATTGCTGAGTAGCTCCGTTAGTGTTCACTGTATTCCGTAGCGTACAATCTCGGATTAACGTCTTCATTGAACGTGTCTACTCTGATTTTCCCCGTGATGTTCAAGTGCGCCGTAATTCTAGCTCTTTCTCCTAAGTCTGCCGCCCTTGTTCTTGATGACCAGCGAGCATCGCACTGCCAACTTCATAATTAGCGCATCACGACAATCACCCAACACGAGAACGTAGCTCTCTGTAAGAATGCGCAATACCATTCAATCTATATTACACCCCACCCTCAAACGAAAGCCCACCTCCTCAAGCCCGCCCTTACACCAAAGAAAAGCGCCGAGCCAATACATGTCAAAATAGGAATACCGTACACACCCAACCCGATAAAGATACCTTGCTCAAAGTACCCAATAGCGATTGACTCAGCGCGCTTCTTCTCTTTAATCTCTTGTGTCGCTTTGCTAAGCAGCTCTGCCGCGGCCTTCTTCGAGTCCTTACCCGAAAGAACCTTTGACATTGTCGCTTGCGAGGCAGGTGCTGCGATATAGGCGGGCGAGATACGAGTGAAATGCTGAGCCGTGTATCGCTTCTCTACATCGACGGGCTGGAAAGAGGGAGCAGCCGGGCCGAGGAGCAGACGGAAGGGGATGTTGTTCGTGAATGATGCGTCGGCGTTGACGAACTGTGAGAGGTACTTGCCCGTAGACGGGGTGCCGAAGTGGTATGCAGCCAGCAGACTCTGTTGGGGATCCAGGTCGTCCTCGACGAGGCTGATGGCATGTTCCAAAGATGTGATTGCTGAGACGCAGAAGACGGGCTGTGGGGACTTGGATGGTAGGGAGGAGAGGTTGGTGAGCTCGACGACGGCGCCGTTGTCGCCTTGCGTTATGGTGTTTAGCTTCCATGACTTGCTGTCTGTGAGTGCTTGGAAGGTCTCTGCCACGCGTGAAGACTTCTTGTGCTCTCTTGCGTGCGTTGAGCCGTTTGACACGCCACTTGATCCAGCCAGGAAGGGGAGGGAGTGTCGAAGAACGTGCTCTAGGAACTCTTTCTTGATGAACTCGTTGACGAGGACGACGTCGGGTGCATATGGTGATGTTCCACCGAATGCGAAGCGTGCTGTTACTAGTTGCTCGGCTGCTGATGCGAGATCTGCTGTGCGGTCTACGACTGCGACGACTTTGTTCCGTGGTGATACGAGTTGTGTGTATGTTGGCGAGCTGACTTGTGTCTCTTGGAATACTTGCAGACAGGCTGATAGTGAGTCTGAAGGAGGATCGGAGGAGATGACAGCAAAGGTATCTGATTCGAGGGCTTCGGTAAGCAGCTTTCGGAGCAGAGAAGGGAGTGCGCGAAGGTTGTTTTCGAGCTGCAATATCGTTAGATGACGTTTCATATTGAAGTTTGCAGAAAACTGACCTTCAGTGCTATGCAGCTGCCGGTTGCGAGACCAGCGCTCAAAGGTGCAATGACCGAGAAGAATGGCGTATGACTTCTTTGAGGCTCGATATACGCAACACCCCAAGGTTCTCTCTTATCACTAGCATCTTTGCCATTGGTGATTCTGTACTCGGCTTCCAGCTCTTTGGCCGCATCGATCGAGCCATAGTGCTCTTTGACCACATCCAGGGCAAGCGCAACCTCGGTGATTGCCTCTTCATCTGACACATGCGTATCTTGCTTCAGGGCATCTGCAATTGCATTGCTGTTGTTGCGCAGCGCATCGTGCAGCGATTTGAGTTGTTTGAGACGGAAGAGAGCGTTGTGGCAGCGGGCAGTAAGCGCAGTCGCCTGGAGATTGGCCAGCGCAACTTCGGGGGTGATGGGCGACGACATTACGAATGGCAGGAACAGACTGAACAACAACAATGATTTTCCAGAAGAAATGTCCTCCAGACTGCGATATGTAATGTAAGCTCTAGGAGGTGTACGGATATTCTGACACGGCAGTCAGCCCATCTGCGCCGGCAATGCTGCCGACAGTACGCGGGCGCGATGAATCCCCCCACATTCCGACGATTGCGACCCCTGCCCCAGCTTCTCCGCGTGTCTCCAACTTTCGGACCGCGAGGGACGCGTACTTCCATCTCACGTCGCTCGGGGTAGTAATATTGTTGATTGATACCATAGACGTCGTCGCCCATCTTTGTCCCACCAAGTTTGCTATCGCTGTCAACATGTCTGTAACAACCACCGCCAACCCGATCCACTACAACCTCGAGGCCACCCTCGCAGACTACGATCTCCATCACAGCGGGGACCAAACCGAAGGGCTCGATACAAGCCTTAATGCGCATCCCGCACCGAATTCGTCGTCAACGCAATCGCAGCAGAATCCTAGCGACTGGCCGACGGAACATCGCCGTGTTCCTGCGTACCGCCCGATCAACCACGAACTCGACCAGAGCGAGCGGAGAGTCTATTTGAACGGCATTGAACAAGCATTTGTCGGAGTCATGTTCACAGGCGTGTTTTTGGAATCCGTGAGTATGTGAGCTTGATTAAAAGGGCATGCATGCTGATAATCACGCAGACAATGTCCAAAGCGTGGCGGAATACCGTGGGGCGATTCTGGAATGTTGGATACAAGATTGGTGGGGAGTGGTGAGGGACTTGGTGTACATAGACCAACATATTTACGGCGCTCGCAATTGTCAATTCTTTTCTCCAAGCATGATACTGCTGCAATCTGTTGTGAAACGTCAAAACCATGTTTGCAGTGCTCTATGATAAATTCCAGAGTATATTGCCCAACGCGCATGTCGATCTCGTTAAGGCGTCCCTCATGACATACATGCAGCGAACACCACATACGCGCATCCTCGGCTCAGTCAGCATGCGCCACCAACAACCACCCACATCGCATTTAGCCTACAAACTACGACAGCTCACTCCGCCGATAGTAATCATTCTTCGGACTCCGAGAAGCGCGTTCGCAGTTTGCCCTGCATCAGTCTACCACCAACCCACCCATACTAACCCGCATGCCCACCCACAGCGCCGGGAAGTGGAGGGCCCATCCCCATCTTGAACCGATCATCAAGGCAAACACGATTTGTGAACCGGCAGAAGTAGAAGGGATCTAGTTGCCAGAGCTATCTAGACAAATTTCATCTGGGGCTTGAGACATACTCTTTGCTCTCTTCTCATACTGTGCTGTTGCGACTTCAAGCATCTTGCAACGCTTCTCTCATACACACCCATTATGGACTTCACGAACGGTACCAACGGTATCAACGGGCACACGTCCCCATCCTCACAACCCCTCAAGATAACAATATGCGGCGCTGGCATCGGTGGCCTCAGCGCAGCCATCTTCCTGCGTCAACGCGGGCACACAGTAACCCTTCTCGAAGCCTCCCGTTTCGCCAACGAACTCGGTGCAGCCGTGCACCTCGCACCCAATGCCAACGGTCTCCTCCGCCGCATGGGCATGGTCCCAGAAGCCCAAGGCGCGGTAGCGTGTCGTCTGATGACGCAGATGCTGCCGAATGGCAAGGAACTCTTTACCGTGCCGCTCGAGCACGACGCAGCGCGGTGGCAGCATCCTTGGCAGCTTGGGCATCGCGTGAGTCTGCACAGTGAGCTGAAGAGGCTGGCTACGTGTGAGGAGGGGGAGGGGAAGCCGGCTGTGCTTAGACTGCGGGCGAAGGTCGTGGATGTTGATGCTAAGGCGGGTGTTGTTGTACTAGAAGATGGGGAGAAGATCCAGAGCGACGTTGTTGTTGGCGCAGATGGCGTGCATTCCAAGACACGACCGCGTATCCCTGGCGCGGAAAACATCAAGACTTTTGGGAGTGGCAAGAGCGCGTTCCGTTTCCTGATTCCCAGGCAGCGGGCGCTGGATGATGAGATGACGCGCAAGTTTGCGGAGAAGGAGGGCCATCTCATTATGATCTTTGCGAGGGATCGCAGAGTGGTTGTGTACCCGACATCCAACAACACGCTGTTGAACTTCGTTTGTATTCATCCGACGTCTGAGAGTCAGATTGATCCGAAAGAACCCGGGAGCAGTGACTGGCAGAACCAGGGTAACTTGAACAAGATGTTGGATGTGTACAAAGATTTTGAGCCTGCGATACTCAAGTTGCTGGGTATGGCGGACGAGGAGACGTTGAAAGTGTGGGAGTTGCTGGACATGGACCAACTGCCGACCTGGACAGATGAGAAGCTGGTGCTTATTGGCGACGCTGCACATCCATTCACACCTCGTAAGTTCAGTCCTCGCTTCATCATCGCAACGAGGATCAAGCTGACCAAATCCCAGACCAAGGACAAGGCGCAGGCCAAGCCATCGAAGACGCCGCCTCCCTCGCCGTCATGCTCCCCCTCGGCACACCCCTCGACTCCATCCCCGCCCGCCTCAAGCTCTATGAAAAATGCAGATACGAGCGCGCCTCCACCATCCAAGAGTACTCCCGCGTAGCAGGCAAAGACCTCGGCAGCGGCCCACCAGTCGACCCGCACAAGTTCACAAACTACAACTTCGGCCACGACGAATGGGACTACTCCAGTCAAATGCTCCGTAAATGGGAGTGGGAGAACAAGAAAGGTCTGTTCTGGAGAATGCCTACGGCTTTTGGTCCTATGCCAGGCCCGAGGCAAGACTTCGCTGGACGGCCGAGAGATGGGTCGAAGGCTACGTTCAAGACTGCTAGTATCAAATTTAAAACGAGCAGGACTGTGTTGGAGAACCTGTTGCCGACGGAGAAGTTGAAGTTTGCGGCTGCAGATACGGCTTGCTATGCGAGTTTCGCGGTGACGCAGCTAGACAATCTTGAGTGGCTTGGCGGTAGAGGATACAGTCATTTCGGGCTGTACATCCATGGCATCCAGCACACGAAAGCGGATGGCGAGACGGTGACGGGCACATACCTGCCTGTCATGTTCGAGAACCTGGCCGATCCCATACTGAGCGGAAGGGAGGAACTAGGCTTCCCGAAGCTCTTCGCCGAGCTCGATGTGAAGAGTGACGGCAGCAAGTGGACGCTCGACGCAGGCTGGATGTCATCCAAGTTCTGCAGTATGTCACTGTCCGGACTGCAGGAACATTCTGCAACGAACGGTGAGGCGCCAAGACTGTCTCCTCCTCTTCCGAAAGACGAGGGCCTTTTGTTGCACAAGTATGTACCGGCTACTGGTAATATGGGTAGCAAGGAGCGCGGGCAGGCGGATGTGGAATACACCGCTTTTCTGCCGGGTGAGGAGGATGCGAAGACCGTGGAGAAGAAGGTCGAGCGGACGCTGAAGGCGAGCTCGGCTGAAATTTCTTTCGACGCTCTGGATTGGAAGGGGCTGCCAACGCTGCATCACATCGTCGAGAGACTCAAGGAGGTGCCTGTGTATGAGGTCATCGAGGCGAAGGTAGTCGAAGGTACCGGAGTAAGCGACGTGAGCTCGATCCGGAAGCTAGCATGAGCTGTATCGTCTGTAGCTGTTATCAAATCTCCTAGTTAGCATAATCCCAACGACCACAACTTCCAAAAGCGACTTCCCACCTGCAATACTGTAATGCCTTTCATTCTTCATCTATCAAAAGGCCCCCAACTCCTACAAATGAGACAAGCGCTTGTCCTGAAGCTATAGATATAAATGGGGTATTACCAGGTTCTCCATCTATCAGTTGCCGCCGCCAAAAACACCTTACTGCCATGCCATATCAATGCAACAAATACAACATAGGAAAAAGAAGTGGTGATCAATGCATCTCATCCGAAGAGTTTGGAAACATCGAGTCTGTGCTGGTTTGTTGAGTCGGCTTCTTGGGCGCCGCCTTCACTGGAGTGCAGTCGGACCAGTCTGACTCTGCCGGCGGTTCCGGCGCTGTGCTGGCGGAGGCAGGATGCCAAGAAGGGCGAATATATGCGTCCTCGTCCGGGACATCCGCGCCTGTACTGGGTCAGTCGTGAGCCCTGCAAAAGACTCGCTGAGGTAGAACAGCCCAGAGAGACACGCAGGGAAGATCTACGCACTCGCGACGCCCAGACCCTCGCAGAGTCTCTTCCTCCACTGTCCACAGACGTCCTCGAACCCATCCAGCACATTCGCACAAGCCCGTTTCGCCTCCCTCTCTTTGAGCCGTCGGTCCCAGTCCCCATGCTCAATGTATTCCTGTCCCTCTTGCGTCTTCTCGTTGTCGCGTTTCCAGTCCTGCAATTGTTCTTTGCTGACTTTGAGCCTTCTGGCTGCATTTGCGGTTGTTTGCCGTGACATGTGTAGGGTATCGCTGACGTTTGAGAGGTGTTGGATGAGTTCGCGGCTGGAGTGGGTGAGGTGGGAGATCGCGACGAGCGGATCGGCGGAGGGGTGGGGTAGCAGCTCCAGTGTAGTTTGTATGATGGGGAGAAGTTCGTCGATGTCTTCCGGGTCGGGAAGGATGGCGAATGGACCTGAGAAAGATACGGCGATGGAGGTAAGGGTACGCGATTGGTGTGTTAGATGCGTTGTCAGAGCCTCATGGGCAGTCTTTAGTCTGGGTTTTGTTAGCGATGACTCGATATGCCTGCAAATCAAAACATACCTCGTCGCTCCGTTCTCCATAGCAATCTGGCTGCCAAGATCTCGGAGTTGTTGTGTGACCCTCTTCACCACCTCGTCCGATGCGCTCCCATTCTCCTCCATGCCTCTCCGTGCCAGACTCTCGATAGCAGCCATCCGCGCGTCGAGCGCGGGCGAGATGCCCTCATTTTCCAGGTCAGAGTCGTCACCGTAGTCGGAGCCATCGTACAGCGACCGTTGCCTTGTGTGCTTTTTCGTCTTAACGGCCGACCCTGGACTGAGGCGCGCCGGAGACGAGTCCTGCATGGCAACCCCACTATCCCGTACACCGTTGAGGCTAGCTGCGCTGTCGACTCCATAAGAGCCGTCGTGCTCTACAGCCGTGCCGATGTTCTCGTCCTGTGCTTCGTCCAGTTCCTCGCCGTATTCGCCCTCCATGCCCTCGTCGTCATCGTCGTACATCTCGCCGAGCTCGTCGGCCAAGTTGCCCAAGCCATTGCCGTCTCCTCCGCCGTCGAATTGGTGCGCGGGGCTGTGTTCGAATTCATGCGATGAGCGCGGCGTTATGGGCGAGTAGCCCGAGTTGCGGCGGGTGAAGGACTGCCGTCTCGATGAGGTGTTGTGTGACATGTCTAGACTGGAGGGGTGTCGGCGGTGCGAAGACGCAGGCCGTTGGGTGGGAGTGCTGGGAGGGGACGACATGGCGTTGTCGTGGTATTGCGATAGTCGCCGGTGTTCCGAACACGTCGAAGGCTCGTGAAGTCGCGGAAATGAACAAAGGCGGACCGCATTAGGAGTCCCCAGTCGGAGATCTACGCGGGAGTGAACCGTGATCCAGGGCGCGCAATGCGCGTCAGCCTCGCTGCACCTGCACGACGCGGCTCTGCCCTAACAAGCCGCCAAAAGTCTATGTAATTGCGCTGGGATAGGAGGTCCTGTGGCGGGGTATCGGCGTGTTGACGGCCTCAGAGCTTCAGCGATGGTGCCGCCTTGGCTGTGGCTGCGGAGATGCGCCTCAAGTACCAAGTGCTATGATGCGTGATGATAAGTGGCTTGTGCCGCTTAGCGATAGAGCGCGTGCAGTCAAGGCGTGCGAAATAACAACGATGGAGCCTCGGTTGCCGTCCAGCCGTCGAGCCTGGTGTTTGTTGACGCTTGCCGTGTGTTTGGAATTAGTGGCTTGCGCGAAGGCTTGTGGACCCTTCTTTGCACGAGTGAAAGGGGTATGGGTATCCTGGTAGCAGGTGACCTTGATACGATGATGCTCGTATTTCACTCATTTACTAGTACGCAGCAGTTGTGTCTGATATAGTAACGACTGTGGATTCTTTGTGACTGATAGTGAATGTTGACTCAGACACATGTCAGACAATACGACCTTTTGCATCCGAACGCTCTCCAATGCTGTGTAACCTCAACCCCAAACACTTTCAAGATGGGTATCGCGTGCGATCATCCTAAGCTGGGCCGAAACACGCTCACAAACTCCAAGACGCCTGAACATGACCTTACTCATGCCGCTATAGGTACTGCCATATAGCACCCATGCAATTCAATGCCCACAGAACTCCTGTAATGCCCTCATAATGCCGCTGAAATGGATATCGGGTGTGTATGCGATTATTGCGCGGGTTTGGTCTGCTCGAGACTGGCGATCTGCTTCTTCAGCTGTGTGAAGAAGTCCTGGCCGGTCGGCATGAGGTGTGTCATGGTGCCTGGTCTCTGTCAGTATGCCAGCCTCGGTGGTGGTTCGATGACGCCTTACCTCCTTTGCCCCATGCGCCAGTGCTTCGGGTCGGGACAGAGTCGCCGGGGACCTTGTGGTATACCGAGGGTTGGTCTGAATGCATGTTAGTCCTCTGGCCATGCGCGCGGGTGATGGAGAGGTTCATACTGGCTGTGCTCTCAAGGTATTCTGCAATCGATTAGCTCATGCCATATCATGTACCAGCAATGCTATAGACGTACTCTTCTTGAGGAAGTCCCTGACCTCGTTCGCATTGAACTCCTTCACGGGTACGTGCTGGTCGGGCTGCGCTTGAGCTGGTGCAGCCGCGGGGCCTGGTCCTTTCCCCTGCTTGGCTCCCCATACGTTCCCCGTGGGCGCTGGCATGGCCTGCTGCCGGCCTGCATGGTCCTTGGTGGGGGTGTTTGCGCCCGAGTTGGAGTTGCGGTTGGCTTGACCCTGCCGCCGCCAGCTGTACCAGTTGTCAGTATGCATGAGCTCCCACAGCTTCGCGTGCGCATTTTCTCAGACGTACCGATTTTCTCCCGGGCCACTCATGTTCAGTATGGAGCAACGGTGGGATGTGAGGAGGGGTCGGGTCAAGATATAAAATGGTGGAAGCTCTCCAATCGCTCATGCAGCGCGCGAACTGCGTCTGTGCTGCAACGTCTAAACCAATGGGCGCCCGATGACATATTATAGCTGCGACCTCTTTCGGCCAGCTCACCAGTGCTAGCCGCTTTCAGGCCTATTTCAACACTATTCACAGCCATTATCCAACGAGTGGATGGCAATTTTTGGAGCTTTCTAATCCGCGCCGATGTGTTGTACATCACGTGTGCTGTCCTCCAATGGCAGGAGCCACCGGACGTGTCCAGCCTACGCTAGCTACAGGGTTCTCAAGGCCTCCATCCATGCATGAACCACGGCAACGGCTCCTAATGGACCAACATGTTCTTTGTTTCCCATCTTTGCTCACCGTCATTGTTCATGGCCCGTCTCGGGATCGAGTCGGGCGGCTTGAGAAAGGAAGAGGCTGGTATGTTGTGTCATCAGCCCGAACATTCATCGCCGAGCGTAGCCCGTTCACGTTTGCAGAGCCTCAACGTAGGAGGTGACGACAGTTGTTGCGGTTTTACGAGCTCAGAGAAGACGGCAATGTTATCTTCGATCCAGAACTCATCGCAGTCGTGAGATGACAGACACAGCATCCTAGAGTGACATCATGTCCAGACCGGGCATCGTAGCCAAGTCTTTGACGACCTTCACCTCGTGCCCTGATCATGAAGGAGGTGAGCAGGCCAGATTCAGGTTTACGGTGAGAGACGAACTTCACCGTGCACAGATAAGAGACATCCAAGTGATAGCGGACCCTTTACCTCTCCTGCTTCTTATACCTAAGTTTACCGATCTCATGTTCACCTACTTCACAACCTCCTCGCTACTTTCGCTCTTCGAGATACTTGCGAAAGCTTTTGACGTATTTGTTCTCAAAGTTCTACCAACCAAGCTTCCACCATCGTGCTTACAAACACGAGATGATCAGGAAGACGAGAGGCTTGCCCGTCATTGTCCTTGGACTTACGCTCTTCATCTACGATCTACAGCCCGGCATACTGACAATACTCCACGAACGGCCTAACAGAAAGCCAATGGTCTATGTACTGGATGGGAAAGACTTTGAGGACAGTGCAGATGAAGTCTTTGACGACACTACCACAGAAATGAGATCCAGCCTTGAATTAAGCGCTGTAGGACTGGGTCTGCGCCTGATCAAGAACGATGGGATGCTCAAGGTAAATTATGAAGGTGAGAATGGCGGAGTCGTGGACTGGACATTCCAAGGCTTGCGCTGCTCCAGTGTGGGTAGCATGACAGCATGTGCCTTTACGCAGACAATGCCCGAGGTTGCTGTGCAATCCGAATTGTCGAACAGTACTATCCAGACCGTGAGCACCGATCCCGTCCTGGAACGCATCGTTCAGCCTCCAGTGTCTGGTCTTAGCATTATATCGACAACGGAAACCCGCCCCGTCAAGCCTATAGTCAAGCCTATGATCAAGCCTGCGATCACGACCAAATTTCCAAAGGAAGAACCCGGCATCTTTTCATCAATGGTCGACAAAGAGAGCGGCCTCAAACGCAAAGCGACAGAAGACGTTGAGCAGCCGAAGCCACACAAACTCGCGAAAACATCACACGAATCTCCACTATGGCCAGCTCATCTATACATGACTTGCTGTCGCATGCAACCGGTCTCACAGAGCCCCACCGGGAACCTGCATATCGATCTCAGAGAGGGTACAGTGTGGTTCGAGGGCTGGCATGGAAAAGCGGAGGCACGCATATTCGAGAAGAGACAGGTCAATCTCCGGGATTCATCAGGTAAGCTCCATGTGTGAAGCGCACAAGCTTGCTTTCTCCGATTCATAGTCAACATGACTATGGACACAACAAAACACGACAAGCACTTATCGCGCAGCGACATGAACTTCGTATTGGTCTACTGTATGTATATCCAAGACTAACAAATGCAACCAGCTACTGTTCAGTACATTCGACAACACAAGCGTTCCGGAAATCACCTTTCCACAACCCATTCTCTCGAAATATCCAGGAAAAATCTAAAGGACGAACTGACTCCGCTGTTTAGAGTATTATGCTCTGCACCCGGATGGCAGACATGGGGTTCCGATACTGACACAAGTCTGGGTCCCAATCCCGACCCCTCAGTCAAACTCAAAGAGGGATTAGGGCTCAGCAAAACTAGCAAGTCACACGAGAAACTCACCTCTTCAAGCATTAGAACAGCAACCGACATCTCGCCTACCGTCATCGTCGATGCGATCGTACATTGCATTGACCGTGCTTCAGACCGTCCACCTGTACACGACCCGGACACTGATCATGAGTTACGGGAAGATCTAGAACGTTACAAGAAATTCCGAAATGCTTTTTGGACACGTCCCGGAGTTTACTCGAACTGGAAGTATACATCTAATGAGATAAAGACGCGGGACACTCGTAGGAAACTTCTCAGAACAGTGCATGGGGAGTAGAGGGGGAAGGAGGCCAGGCATACCAAGATCGAGAGAACAGACGACTTGCTGGATCTGCGGTGGATCGACAAGTCGTTGCTGGGTTATAGGGAGACAAAGGCTTTGCAAAAGCGATTGATTTGTTCACTGTCGCGATCTTGAAGGACTTCAAAGAAATATCTAGGTCCGCGCTCCAGATATCATGAGCCTTTGGCAACCTTGAATCCGGGTAGCATGCGGCCTGGCTCCGGTGTCATCTGAGCAATTGAGTATTATCTTACACACACGCACCTAGTTTCAAGGAAGTGTGTTAGAAGAGTAAAACGCTGTGCTCTACTTCACTTATTGATCCTGCGCTGAACCCTGGACGCTGAGCCACTCACAGAGTCTACGATCTCAATGGCAGGCGCAGAAAATGATACTATCGGATAGAAGAACAACCAGCGCTGGTCATACATTTATAGAATATTCATTGGTATACATAAACCCGCACTTGCCTGCGCACAAAGCCAAAATCCCAACTCAAAACCAAACACAATTGCACTTGCCTCCCATGGATATATTTACGCCGGCGCAGCAGCCCCCTCGCCATTCTCCCCACCATTGCCATTTCCACCCGTAAGACTAGACATAAACTCCTGCCATCTAAACACCTCGGTCCTATTACCCAAACTCTTTCCTCCTTTGGCGAACGCTCTTCGCCCACTAAATCCCTCAATAGCCATATCAATATCCCGCTCCGTCAACTTCCTCTCGCCAGCTTCAGGCGCCGTATGCAACAAAGCATCCTTCAACTCCGCCAAATCAATCTGCCCATCGTCATTGTCATCAAAAGCTTCGAACGCAGCGGTCAGTTCGTTCTGGTGGGAGAGATTGCCAAGGAGGTCGGAGAGCGTTGTCAGGTAGGTCGCTAGGTTGATGGATTGTGCGCCGTTGAAGTAAGTGGAGAGTTGGGAGGGGGTGGCCGAGAGACCGAGTTGGGAGAGCATGTCTGCGACGTCGGCGGAGTTGACGTGGCCGTCGTCGTCGCGGTCCATGACGCTGAAGGATTCGCGCATGCTGTGGAGGAGTGGTGGCGGGAGTTTGGAGAGGGCGTCGCTGGAGGCCATGCGTTGCATGGGTGCTGGTCGCGCTGTGCGCTCTGCTGGCTTGTAGGTATCGACGGGTTTGTATGTATCGACAGGCTTGAAGGTTTCGACTGGCTTGTAGGTTTCGACTGGCTTAAACGTCTCGACTGGCTTGTATGTCTCGGCCGGCTTAGGCTCCTCAACTGGAGTATGAATCTCGACTGGCTTGAGGCTCTCAATGGGCTCGGTATTCTCGACCGGTGGTGACTTCTTCCTGCTAAACAGAGGCGGTGGTGCGTCGTCCCTCCCGGCGGCCTCAAACTTGGCTGCGATGGATGATGTGCTTAGAGGGCGCACCGTCATCTGCGAAGACGAGGAGACATTCCGCGTCGGCGAGACATTGCGTCCAGGTGAAAGATTTCGAGACGGCGAATTGGGTGCTTCTGGGGTGCCCGTCGTCCCCCGTGTGTTCAGCCAGGATGGCGGGTTTTGCGATGGGTTGCCCCCGATGGACAGACGGTTGGGGGTTTGCGCAGGGGACGTCGGAGTCTCTTTCGGTTTGAGAGGCGAACTGTTCGGCGTCGATGGTCGCAGGGTAGATGGTGAGCTCTCCCTGATGGAGCCTGGTCTGCGGAAGGGCGACTGGCGCGGGCTGTTGAAGGAGAGGGGCGAGGGCTTGTAGGGCGTGGGTGTTGTAGACTGCATATCTTGGTTAGTCGCATTCGTGCAATTCACAAGGGTCCAGCATACCATGGTGCGTATATTCGTTTTGGTGATGTCGCTGGTCGTCGCGTTGTTTGGTGTTGTCAATGGGATGGCCTAGCAACGAGCCTATCGATAAGCTGACATGGGTAATTGGCGTGGGCATGCAGGGTTCGTTCACTCTCTGCGGGCAGCATAGCGGGTCACACGCATAGTCACAGCTCCGGATACTATGCGGTAGCCATTCACGCTCCCAGATCCACGGCCTGCTCGATCAATCCCCCATCACCTCCAGCTGCAGCGCGTCATGTTGTTTCGGGACGGTTACATTAGGCTCCCCTAGCGCCGTCGATCTATAATGTAGCATCCGAGTCGCCAGGTGCCCGTACAGAAGAAGATGGAGACACTCATGGCTGAAGTAATCGCACAGCGGCCAAGCGGGCCCAATGCCGCTCAGCCTGTTTCCCTGCAGCGCCAGCCCTCCTTCTCCTCGTTCCCTCCCTCGCGATCGCCCTCTACCCGCAATGGCCACCATCCGAAAGCTCGCTCCCCGCAACCCCCCATGCTCCGCGAGGGCGACGAAGACGACTCGATCCAGTCCTCGCACGACGACTCGTACCAGTCCTCCATGGCCGCCATCCCCAGAGGAACCGCCAAGTTGCGCTCGCAGTATCCCGCCGATGCAGTCGAGAACCATGTCGAGTACATCCTGGTCGCCTCGTTCGACATCGACCGCGGCTCCATCATGGAGCACCAGTACCCGGCGGCTATCAGTGGAGACGAGACTATGCTAGCAGAGCTCATGTTGCCCGATCAGGCCCACGTGCGCAGTCAAGACTGGACCATCTTCTTCCTGCACAAGGACACCACAGCCGAAGAGGAGGAGCGCGAGGCACGGAGAGAGCGCAGGAGGCGGAGACGGCGACGGAAAGAGGGCCTGGAAGACGACGGCGACGACGATGCGACTGCCGCCACTGAAGAGCAAGACGACGAATACGACGACGGAGACGACGACACCGAAAGCGAAGGGGAGCCAGACCCTGACGGGCCCCCATTGGTCTATGTCTTGAACCTGGTCAACACCAAGCAGGACAATACGGTGAAGAGGTAGGAAGAACACTTCCATGAACTTGGCAAGACTGACAATATGTAGAGGCGCTATCGTCAAAGCCATGGCTATATGCACGCGCCATCCCTTCCTGCACATATACAAGCCCCTGCTACTGCTGGCTCTTGAGGAATACTTCAGGGCGCCTGTCCTGGAGACCCTCGAATCTCTATACAACGCCCTCAATGCCATGGACCTCTCACTTCTCCCGAGACTCTCACCCCTGGAGAACTTCGTGCTTGGCGCCAGCGATGCCAAAGACATGTTCGTGGAGAAGTTTGAGCTTATGGTCCGGCAGCGGAAGAAGCTCGATGCTGCGAGAGACTCTGTCGAAACATCTTCAGATCCTCAGTCGCGGAAGAAGACGTACACTGTCCCGCGAGACACGCACGAGTTCGAGTCCAAGATCAACTACAACGGCATACCTGTCCCCGTCAAGATACCCACCGCTCTAAGCCCAGAGACTGTGGGCGACTTCTCCTTGATCAAGCTCATCCAAACCTTCTCCGCGCCCCATGCGGCGCAACCGCAGCCCTTCGCTTTACACCCACATTTGACTACGAGCGGTGCATTTACTCACCCCATCATCGTCCTCGTCAACGCCCTCCTTACACAGAAGCGCATCATCTTCATCGGACATAATCGCCCTTCAGGCGAAGTCGCTGAAGCTGTACTGGCAGCATGTGCTCTGGCCTCTGGTGGCATCCTCCGTGGCTTCGTGCGCCATGCGTTCCCATATACCGATCTTACTAAAGTAGATGACCTGCTGAAGGTACCTGGCTTTATTGCTGGCGTCACCAACCCAGCGTTCTCCTACAAGCCCGAGTGGTGGGATCTGCTTTGCGATCTACCAACCGGTCGCATGAAGATCAGCAATCGTATTGAAACGGCGTCACCAACAGAGGGGTCGATGTTCTTCCAGCAACAGGGACTACCATTGAACGGGCCAGGCGCACCACCAGCCTTTGACGGCAAGGGCGGCGGCGTCGACCCGACCGGCGACACCCAATTTATGGACAGACTTCTCGAGAGCATCGCGAACCGTCACGGCGAGAATGCTATCCGAGCGAAGTGGCGTTCGTGGGTGCTCAAGTTCACTCGCATCGCGGCCGCTTTCGAAGAGACCGTCTATGGCGCTTCGGCATTGTACATTGGTTCCCACGAGACCGATGTTGGCGCATATGGTGTCTCTGGACATGGCTACGTCTGGCCAGACGAAAACCACAAGCTACGCGAGCTCGCTGCAAATGTACACCGTATCGAGGGCTGGCGCAACACAAGGAGTTATTACAGCTGCGTTCAAGATCTAGCGAGACATTGGAAGAAGAGACCAGTGCGTGGTCTTGACATTGGCCACCAGCACGACAAGCTGCGATGCTTGAAACTTACGCACGATCAGTCTGCGGGCATCTATCTTGCACTCGCGCGGTGCGTTGAAGAAGCGGGTTCACCACCTAGTGAGAGCGCGAATGCCTCTTCGAGTGATTTGTCGTCCATGGCCCAGTCACTTTCGATCGCGAATGACTCTGAGCGCAAGGCGAATTCGCAGCTCCAGTACGACACCATCCTGCAGCTGCTCTGTGTGATCCCAGATGCTGGCCTCTTCTATCTTAGTCTAGGCTTGTTTCATCCCCGACAGGATGTCAGGATGGCGGTCGTGAGATTACTAGAGAGAATCATGGACCACTCTGCTGGTCGGCACTACTGGGGACAATTAGGACGTTTCGCCAAGCTGGCCTTCTTCAGAGTGAAGAGGGAGGAAGCGCAGAAGTAATTGCGATACGATAAGGCGTTGATGGTGTTGGAAGGAATTGCCGGTACAATACGTGTCATGGAGTTTGTAAATGCTGTAACGTAGATATCTGAATGAATGAAATGAAGTACACATGGAGAGCCCAGCTACCCTCATGCAAACTAGTCGCCATGCAGCAAAGTCACGTCTGTCCCCAGACACGCTACGAACCGTTGGATGCGCGCGCATCCCTGCATCGCATCTCATCTCCGCCTAAATCATACTCGCCCAAAATTTCCCGCTTCACCCCTCGAAATGCGCCCGCCCTAGTCGCCGTGTCGCAACGCCCATTTCGCCTTCCCTACAACCTCAGACACGTTGCGCATGCTGTCTGCACGCCAATTGATCAGCGACAATGGCATCACCACCACCAAGCGAAGCCCCAGCGGTTAAGAAACGCGGTCGCCCGAAGAAAGTCATAGCCGAGGATGCGGGGCCAATACCAGCGGTCGAAGCGAGCAAGGTGGCCGTAAAGAAGGTGGCCGCGAAGCCTGCTGGAAAGACAAAACCCGTGGAGGTCAAGAAAGAGAAGAAGACGGTTGCGAAAAGCACAAAAACAATTGCTCCTTCTGCAACTCCTGCCGCGAAGAAAGATGCGCCTCAGTCGCCAATTGCGGCCGAACAACCCACGCCCGTGACGCCGTCCACAAGCAAGATATTAGAGGAGGTACAAGCGAAAGGGACGTTGAAGAAGGCACAGGCTGCAAAGGTCGTGGAGAAACAAGCGTCGAGTACGGACAAGAAGACTGCGCCGCCACAACCTCAAACCCAAGAACCGACAACGAAACCAGCGTCCTCGCCGTCGAAACCAGCAGTATCAGCATCCACGAAGCCTCCTCCTCCAAAACCGACTACGACTCCCACCACTCCACGCCCAACAACAATCCCCCTCCCCTCCAACCCCACAAAAGCACCCTCACCCATCTCCCCACCACCACCCGCAAACCCATACCCACGCTTCTCAAAACCCACAACCTCCACGCGCCACATACCGCCAAACCCCTATCCAACAAGCATCCGTGCCTCAAACCAACAAGCACCTCCATCTCCACCGCACCGCCAACACCCCACGCGCCTCATCGAGCCCACACCGGACATCAGGCTGCCACCCAAATACAAACCCGCGTCGCGCCGTGTCACAGCGATAATGGTGAGTTTGCCGATTGTGTTGGTGTTTGGATATGAATTGTTTGAGCGGTGGAGGGGGAAGGAGGTTAAGCAGGTTTTTAGGGAGACGGAGGGGTCAACGAATGAATGAATGAATGAATGATTTGAGGGGTTGGTATGGCAATGAACGGGTGAGGGATGGAGGTAATGATGATGATGATGACGAGTAATGTTGGATTGATATTGTACTTATACTATATATATGGTCTGGTCTCTGCTACGTCTTATGTATATTTATAGAGATACGGTACACGGAAGGGGTATCACTACTCTTGTGTGCTGTTGCTGTTGGTATTCCAGTCTACTCTCTCGAATCGTGTAGCGACCTATCTGGTTCGCCTTCCATGCTGGTTGAACAAAAGAAAAGGTGCGTGAAGATGGTAAAGGGTTAACGGAATGTGAAAGACTATGTATAAGAAGGGTAATCGCGAAAAAGACGTCGGGCTCAACCATCCACGCTACATGTAACTCTTCTTCCTCAGCAGCATGCCCCTCGTCCCTGACGGGTCAACTGGCAAACCCGATGCACTACCGCGACGGCTACCAGGTCTGCTGGCAGACGGAGAACGTGTTGTGTTGATGGGCTCTACATCCAGTATCGGTGGGCCTACACTGACATCGGGCGTAGCGGGCCCTGGAGGATGAAATAGGCGCTTGTATCGCAGTTCTGGTGAGCTTGGTACGTTTGGATTGGAGGAGGATCTTGCGGCCGAGGTCATGGTGAGATTGAACAGCGTGTTGGTACGACGACTGAGCGGACTTTGAGTTGGCTGTGGCATGGGCTGTAGCGTGGGCTGTGGGGTAGCTTGCATCGTGGCTTGAGGAGTTGAAGGCCAGAGGGTGGGACCGGTGAAGGTGGGTGATGTAGAAGGCGAGGGTGAAGAGAGCCTGTCTGTAGTGTCTGACTCGGGGTCGGCAAAGTAGTCGTGGTCAGACGTGTCGTTCGTGGACGACGTGGGATCGAGCTGGATGGTCTCGGTCCACTGGCGCCTTGCATTGTTTGCGCCGTGAGCTTGCTTCGCGACAGAAAGCGGTTGTGAGGACGCTCTCAAGGCTGCGCGAGACAAGAGAGGGCTGGTGGGTGCAGACTTTCGCAGCACAGGGCTAGGAGGCTCCGTCCTGAGTTCGAAGCGCGTCATCTTATGCGTCGATTTCGCTCGCTTTCTTTGAGCGAGATCGTTATCCTGAGAGCTGGTCCGCCTGATATTGACGTCTTGCTGTGGTGTAAAGACGAGCCGTCCCTTGAGCTTCTGGATCGTGTCGTCCAACGCGAGCTCAATGGCGACATGGTTTTGTATCCGCGAGAGCTTTGGCCATGTAGCTCGCTGTCCAGTCAGCATGCATCCGACCATGAACTCGGGCGTGGGGTTGCTCAAGACTCTAGGGAAGTCCGCGTAGTTGATCTTAGGGAAGATGTTGATGTCGCCTGAGTATCGCTGGCTGAGCACCGAACGTCCTTTTGTGACAAGATTTGGGAGGAACCCAGTATCCGCTAGCTGCTGGAGGCGGTGCATCACTTCGCCCTTGCAAAGACTAGCTGAGAGACTCATCCAACCGGGACCAGTGACGGCGTCGTGGGCTTCTGCAGCGACAATTTCCTCCTCTTTCGCCAGAAAGGGAACAACGTGTGGGTTGACTTGCGAGACGATAAAGTGGTTCACATTGAACATCTCGGCTAGTCGGGTCATCGGTAGGTCGTTGTCCACTGAGCCATCAATCCATGTCGCGTCAGGATTTGGATCCCAAGGCACTTCCTGGCCGGTCTTCGGGTCCTTTGCCAACAGAGATGCCTTCTTGTAGACGAGCGGAACTGAGCAAGAGGTGCATCTACATAGCGTTAGCATAGCCATAATAATTCCTTACTTTCGTGAACTTACACTGCAGACCAGATCATTACGTTCGGCGCTGTGATGTAATTCAAGAGTCTGGGCAATTCGTAGAGCGACGAAGTCGAAACAGGAATGTTCAAGATACGTCGAGTGCGATTGTAGGCTTCTTGAAAAGTCAAGTCGCCAAGCAGATCACGCATAACTCTCATAAGATGTGCAATGTCAAAGAGAGCGCCGGACTTCATCAAGCGCATTGCTTTGTTGATCATGCCTTCTGGGTGATCCGGGCTTTCAAATACGTTCAAGTCTCCAAAGCAAAATTGGTGCATAACCTCCGGGATCTCTGCATCGGTCTTTGCGCATAGGACCGCACTGACGATGCTTCCTGCAGAGGCTCCCGATATGATGCGTGGAAGAAGACGAGCGTCCCAAAGACCCTTGACGACGCCGATGTGGTTCATGCCAAAGGTTCCCCCGCCTGAGAGTAACAATGCGCTTCTACCGAATGATTGGCGTGTTTGAAGCAATTGGTCGACCAATCGCCGCGGCTCGATAGGACATTGATCTCCCTGCTTCTCCGAGACGTCCAGCAGAGCGGCCATAGTTTGCTGAGCCGACTCGATGTACCTCTCGATCAAACGCTTGGTTCCAATATGCGAGTGCTTGTACAGACGCAGGTCGCCCATGTCGCCCAATCCGCGTGTGAGGGTGGTCCTGATCAGGAACAGCATCCTCTTCACGTCGCAGCTCATGCGAGCATCGTCCAGCTCTTTCAGCCGGGCAGCAACCAGATTCACGTTGTATTCCGGCGTGTCGTCCTCTTCTTTCCAGGCTTCGTTTCCTTCTAGGATATCGAGCTCGGTCGCGGCGGCTTTCCATTGGTCGTATGTCTCGGCCTGCGTGGCGATCTCGTCAGCATGTGAAAGGGCACGACCAATCTGAGGTACCCACGTCTTTCATGTGCAGGTACAGGACCTGCCTACGATTTGCTTCCGCAGCATCCACGGCTAATTCAGGAACATGGTAGTCGCCCACTGGGTCGCCCAGAGTCCCCAACGGATTCCTGGCCAGCTGCACCAGGGGTCCGAGGAAGCCGCCATGGCTTTTGCTCTTCCTTATGGATTTCTGCCCATTTTGTCCTCCTCTTACGTGCAGTCGCGTACTGCCGCCTGTAAAGATGGTGTCAGACAGCAATGACATCGAGCGCCGGTACACGCCATGCGCGAATCCTTCGAAGCCTGGCTTAGCCGGTGGTAGGAGGATCGGTAGATCGAGTGGTCGTGAAGGCAGCGTGCGGTGGTGTGGAAGTAGGAAAGTCGGTCTCCAGGGAGTCTGTCGCGGTCGAGGGAGTCTGCAGCCTAGTAATAGTGCTTTTCGAGAAGACGCGGTGTAGGGTGGCCGGAGATGGTCAACTGCGGGTGGTCATGCGCCTCGGTCGCGCAAGTCGCGGAAGGTGCGTCACAGGCTTGCCGCTTCAATACTTGTGCAATGTTGTCGCCGGACGACGAAACGAGCGCGAGAAGGGTCGGCATTGACGCCTTTGAAGTATTCGATGCGTGCAGCGCATGCTAGGGAGCGTGGGGACATGCGCATGGTACATCGTCATCGGCAAGGATCAACTAAACAAAGCCGGCGAAGGTGTCGCGTCGGCAGTAGTCATCAACCGACGCTGATACGACACGCATCTTCCACCTGTACCTGCAGGTCCAGTGTTGGCAGACTACTGCACATGCAGCCATGGATCATGTGTCTTACGTGTAGCTGGTATCAAAGGCCGAGAGTCCTCTGACCACCTGTTGCTGTGCTCAACTCCCAAAAGCCCTTAGTTGTGAACTGTGGGCACGCAGCATTAGTTTAGAAAGGCCGTGTAGCGCCGCGAATAGTTGCTCGTCCGAAATCGCGATCCCGCGCTGCAGACGGCAGATCTGGAGGAAGCTGCAGACGTGGGGCAGCCATCCCTACCTGTTTTGACCGCCATCTTCGATCTTGTGAGTCCACGAGGCTCTATGCATAAGACAATGCACCCTCAAAAAAGAATATGGGTGTGACATAGTCAGTCGTGACCATTCGCATAGGCGGACGGACCGGCTTACAGCTGGCGCCTCTTTCACATGTCAGACTTACACCCAACTGACTCAACACTCCATAGGTGCACAAAAAAGGAAAGAAGTAACGCAATTGCCCATGCAGATAATCGCCTCTGTTCTGAGAATCTATTTCAAGCTACCAGACGAATATTGGCCTTGGCCATGAAATGGTGGATATGTAGCTGGATCGTAACGTCCTTGCTATGCCGGGTATCATGCAAGCGATGAGTAGAAAATGCCAGGCAGTCGCGCCGGAACTCCTTTCAAGCCCTCATGTGCACACTCATGCAGTCATGCATGCCTTACACTACTTCACGACTCTTGCAAGTCTCGGCTCCTCGCTTTGAGTACGCACTACACGGTACCACCCCTTAGGTCTTCCCTCCTGTGTGACTCCTAGATACACCTTGCTGACGTTGCTTAAGCGGGCGAGTGCATTTGACCCGGGTAGCTGGTCCGATAGTAAAAGCTCGGTGAAGGCATCGAGATGCTCGCGACGCAGGCGGTCCTCCATGAACAAGAAGTTGAACATGATGCTATACGAGTCGAAGGCGATTAGGTTGAGCCTGTAAGGCAGCGTCGCTGTTTCCTGGTACATCTGACGACAGACACCGTTGAGCATGGTAAACACCGTGGGCCTCTTGACCCAGGGCTGAGATATCGTCTTAAAGGGATTCTGAGTACCATCGTATACTGTGCACTGATACTTGAAGATGGGTGTAACCCGCTTTACCTTCTTGGGCTTTGTAGGATCAAAGGTAAGGTGATAGGTCTGGTAGCCGATGTTGATAGTCTTACCACCAAGTGTGTACGTGTAGATGAGGTTCCTCACGTTTTCGGGGAGCTGCAGGAGAGGCGAGTCGGTCTGGTTCATTTTGAATCTGATACAGTCAGTTCTGTGCATAAGGTGAGTGTCGTCTGAGACATACTTGCGGGCTTGGTCTGAACTTCTAGACAGACGTTCCCCCATTATAGTTCGCCGTGGTGCTGCAATCTCCTCAGCTTTGTATGTCTTCGGCTGATATGGTGCTTTCGGCTGCTCATTTTTAATGACCCGCTCGAAGAGCCGCGATGTCTGGTTTGGCGCCGTGGGTGACGACTTGAGTGTCGCCGGCTCGCTCCTGTGAGTGATTCCCTTGTACCGCGCGAAATTCTCATCTCTCCGTGCTTGCTGGTGGGCTTTCTTCTGGGCCTCCGCTGGTGGCGTTGGCAGAGAGCCGTTCCTCGCCCAGCCATTTTGTTCTCTCGACTTGTGCCCCGTTTTCATAAGGCCTTTGAAATTCTCACGGTCACCCTGGGCACTGCGCTGATGCGGCTTTGGGGCTTGGTGCTTCTTGTTTTCGAGAACCTTATCGAAGATGGAGCGCGGAGGGTTCATGTCGTCATCAGGAATGGAGACGGGACCGTTGAACCAGGATATCTTTCCTCGTCGGCCTGAGGGTGGTGTCGGTAGCCGCGATCCATTTGGCTCGGTATTTGTTCTAGGACGCTTGTGACGGTCGTCGTTCTCATCTGCTGGATCGCGGTCGTGAGGTGCGCGACGTTTGTTTGGGCGCCGTGAATAAGTGACTTTTCCCGCCATTTTGCGGAAGAAGTTGATGACTTTTGAGAAAAGTGCGAAAATGGCGAGTTCGGATTGGGGAGAGCAAGTTTCCCTCGCCGCAACCGAAGAAAGTGCGAGGCTGCTCTATTGTGGCAGGTGCAGTTTGATCCACCTATTACCAATTAAGGTAGCGACTCGTTAAATGAAAGAATGACGAAGAAAGGAAAGTGAGTGAAGCTGGTCGTGGAGACCCAGTGTGCGTGCTTTCGCAGCCTTGAGCAGCTCACCACGCGCAACAGCCGCTGCAGGTGGTTAAGCAAGCAAACCCAGGGCGTGAGTACGGTGCGTAGGAGTGATTGCGTTCCCTGAACCGTCGAACGATGCCTACGCGAAATCCCAAAGCCCAACGAACCTGTGTGCACGACGATCGGATGTAGAAATAGATCTCCGCTTGTCGCGGTCTCACGTGGGATAGTAGTAGTCATCAACGATGAATTTGGTTAGCGGCCGGCTCTTAGTGGCACCACTTCTGGGGCAGCACAAACCTCGCTGGGCACATCATCAAGAGAAGAGCTGCACGCGTGTCTAGATGACAACGTAGCCCGTAGAGAAAGGCGCATATTCTTCTTCGTTCGCAGAATCGCGGGCGCAGCTTTTGAACATTGCGACGGTTGTCCCTCATTGTCTTCAATCTCACCTCAGCCATGGCCTCCGCTCGGGTCGGTATGAAGAAGAAGGTCTGTCCATTACTCTATATCTGCAACACTCTAGTGACTCGCAAGAGCATCCCTCTAATTGGGAATACTCTGCGAAGTCAAGCATGCGATGTCCCTCGAGGTGAGAGACGCCGTTGCCCCGTGAAGTGGCTTCACTCTTCCCAGTCCTGCCTCCTCTTCTATCCTCTAGTCCTCAAATCATCTTGTTATCTCGCTTTTCCGAGCAAAGTCTTTTCACGTACAGCAATATCCAAAATTTCCATCGCATAGCTACTATTCCATTCGAGTAATCCTCTCCAGGGCTTAGTTGAGTCCGCTCCTAGCTGGTGGTCTTTCGATATCAGCAAGTCGACGTCATTGCGTGGTCACCCAGTAAACGTTCCAGCTGCTGGTGCTCCAGGCTGCTGCTTCCGCTTCGGGAAGTCGCGCTCACCTCGAATCCGATCGGCGGCAAGAGCTAGTCGGCTGCCTCGTCAACAACCTTGGCCGCACTTCTTCTTCCAACCTTGTCTCAACATCTGCGACTCAGTATCTCCTAGCGCTCGCGCTCGCAGAGTGAACATGCCGTTCCTCACGCCCAAGACTATCGGTGAGCTTTCTTGATGACGCTGCAGGTCAATCTGCTGCTATGTTGGTATGGAAACGCTGACCGATGTATAGTGGGCGCAGACCATACCTTTGTATGGGATGCCTTCCCTGTACCTCCCCCGGAGGCTGAGACGTGTAAGTAAACCTATAAATGAGTACACATACGACATCGCTGACTTAGTGAATAGGGACACCGGACCCCGACAGCATCGCTAGGCCTGGCGACCTTCCAGATCCTCGGTTCAACCGCGATCCGGAACACGACCGCCGTAGCAAATCATTCCGACGGGAAGCGAAAATGCTTGCTGCAGCACAACAAGACAGCCAGCTGCGGGCGACAACGTCTACAAGCGGTAAATCTCTAGGTCTTGGAATCGGTGCGTGGCCTGCTCCAGCTCCGCGCAGTACAGGTTACCCTCGTGACCTGGTGCAAAGCTCTGGCCCTCCCTCACCTCCGGCGGACCCTGTCAAAGAAAATGTTCAAATCTCTAGGCCCAAGCTGGCTGCGACCAAGCCAGTCGCACGCGTCGCAGGTCCTCCCAAGGGAACGATGGAGCTCATGTCTGCGCCATACCATCGCCGTCCAGAGACGCCAGTCGCATCAAAGGCTTCCACACGCTCAGTTTCACCCGTAAAGAGTCAACTCTCGGCATGGGAGCTCAAGATGGAGAAGGCACTTGCCGAAACTGCTCCAGCGGCCACTGCAAATGTCTCGACTCGACCTGACACTAGTCGCAAGAAGTCCGTACCTCCACACCTGAGAGGCAAGTCAGAAGAGACTATCAGAGCAGCTCATCAGAAGCCCGTCACACTCAGCCTAAACCCAAATGCCAAGGTGTATGAGGTCCCGGCTAAACAAGAGGAGACGGTCCAGGATGATGTGGACATACTCGAAGACAGCATCGTAGCCTTGCAAGTGGCCATGGACATTCCTGGTATACAGAATTCCAAAGATGTAAGTCTTAGAGAAGCTTCATTCTCTATCTGTGCTAACAACCTTAGGGCCTACGCGTGCAACAAGAATTGCTGGACCGGTACATCGTCAACAATCAACTTCCTCCTCCTCCTACTGTCACCACCACCGCCGCCGCCGCCGCTGCTACCACCATCACTGATCGCGTACATGTTGATCACGAAATCAAGGTCAAAGTATTGCTCATACGCGCCATGGAGCACGAGATGGATCTTGAGAAGGTTGCACCCGAGCGAGAGCTCATGATTATGCAGCGCGCTGAGCTTGACAGCTATTGTAACAAAGTCAGCTCTGCCCACAAGCACTGGTGGCAGGCTATGGGACCGGCATGAACTGTATCAAATCCCGAGTATGCATTGAAACGGCGGCTTATGTGGTATGCATATACTTCCTTTCCTGGCAGACCCACGCTAATCGCAGACACACACAGGCTCTCACTTCACGAGCGGACATTCGCCCGCAACCATCCAAAGTTCGGTGCTAGTTTAGGAGTCGGAGTTTCGGGGAAGGATTATCTTGATCATTAGTATGCCCATCTTCTTGACTATCATGGTCAAAGTAGAAGGACGCTGCCACTCGGTGGGGTAGGATATTGGTGAACACCTTTGCACAGCACAAGCGACGTCTGCGACTGGTGCATACACATACCCTAGCCATCAGTGGAAACAATACATGACACGAGTATCATTGCGCATCTAGACAACTCGTGCACTGTGAAGTCTAGTGGCAAATCCTTTGACACCACTCATTGTTGGTCGTTTGCTGATCACCGAACAATGAGCGTTTGTCTCCGAACAGAGAGACATGCGACTGACTGCTTGCTTGTGACGTTTCAACTCTCGCGTTTGTAGTGCGTATAGAAGTGACACAATTCTTCATTTCATGCTGGTATTAGCTAAGTATCAGCGCTGCTATGTCAACGCAACGTCAAGATTCGCAGCACGAAGCCACACGGGGCGCTGTCAGTACCAAAGTGGTAAATAGCGACTTCTCGACGAACTTGGAGATGGCCTACGACTATGCAAAGCATATGAACTCAAGCGAGAGGCGTGCGCCTATGCCAGACACAAAGACACTCGAGGTGGAACAGGACGGCAAGCCATCCATCACACTCACATCCTATAACCGCGACTCCACTTCTCGTTCCCCAGTCGAATCCCGGCCACTGGTGCATCTCTTCAAACCCATCAGCGAAGATGAGATACGCAACCACACGACCTACATAACTTCGACATCCCGTGCCGGAGAAGAGATGGCGGCACTTACGCAGTTGAGAACAGAGTTGGACGCGCACTTCCAAGTTCTACAGCGCGAGTTTGAGTGCAAAAGGGGAATTAGCTGGATACCGTTGCGGCCGTGGGGTAACGAAGAGTGGGAGTGGAGCGATGATGGCAGTAATGAGGGGGACGATGTGTTCGACTGGTCCTGAGAATCACATGCGCGGCTGGAGAGGCTGAGTATCGTGAGGTCGTGATGAGGTATTGTTCATGTGACTTGCACATTTGCTCGGGCCAATGGAGAGCGATGTAGATAGAGTGTGGAGAGCATTCGCGAGAGGGTTTTGCTCACGTGCCTCTCAGGATGGCTGGAAATGGTAAACTGGTACGCTACTTCTGAGCGAGGGGTTTCGACCCGTGATGTGCTTGCATGATTGTAGTGGTTGTAGTGGTAATGCTTCCCCGCGTTGTTCCGAACCAGACTTTCATTCCTGGGGAGGGGTTGGTGTGCATGAACTTACGTCTGTCGAGCAGGAGGTGTTGCGAGAGATGTTCTTTGATGCCACTGCAAGCTAGTAGCGTCTCTGCTTGCGTCCATGTATGAGCGGAAATATGCTCACATTGTATCGAAGGAAATGATGCTGGTAATCGCGAGCAAATGTGCGCGGACGCATTCGAGGACCATGGTAGCAGGGGGCGGGCCGTCTCGCGCTTCCGTCAACGGGGTCCACTACATCGAGGTGTATTGCATATGTGCTGACCTTTGTCAGTACAGAGCTGGGACTCTCGTCCCAAGTTCCACCGTCGTGCATGCCAGCCATAAGATCTGTCGCCTCCCCGCACTCTCCATCTTTCAATCTTCACATTTCCAGATCTACCGCCGACTGCACTCTGCCTTATCTAGAGTTCAGTGTCTTACAGGCCATTCACCTTCCACGACTGAACTTACTGATAACATCCAAATCATGACGACCCAAGTTAGGAACGACAGCGACGCCAGTTCTGGTGGCTCTGGCCCCCGCAACAAGCAAGCTGCGGATGCGATAGAGATGGTCGCTACACACAGCCGTCAAGCCCAACCCAGCGGCCCCCTGGAGCTCAACGAAGTGAACGCATATGAAAAGACCGGGTATGCGTTCTCAAGCAAGAAGAAATGGGCGATTTTGACTGTCGTTGGACTCTGCCAAACCAGCATGAGTAAGTGGTCTTGCCAACCGTCTAGTCATACGAGGCTAACAGGCGACAGACTATAACGCAGCGGTCTACTCCAACGCAATTGGGCCGCTCAACGAGCACTACCATCTCGGCAGCAATCATTTCACCAACGCAAGAGCGGGTATGGCTTGGTTTTTGATCCTGTACGGTATTGGGTGCGAACTATGGGCACCCTGGTCCGAGGAGTACGGACGTTGGCCAGTCATGCAGATATCCCTCTTCACTGTCAACATCTGGCAGATCATGGCCGGTGCCAGTACGTCCTGGGGCCATGTGCTGGCTGCGCGTCTGCTCGGCGGTATCTGCTCTGCCGGCGGCTCCGTCACACTCGGAATGGTTGCGGACATGTTCGATCCCGAAGATCAGCAGCTCCCTATCCTCTGGGTCAGCTTGTGGAGCTGTCTAGGTTCAGGTATGTAAAGCTCATGTCGTAGATGTCTGAGGAGTGGAATGCTGACTGTCTCCAGTAATTGGCGGCATCTGTGGAGGTCCCATCGAGCAATTCCTTCACTGGCGATGGAACTTCTGGATCCAGCTTATCCTAGGCGCCACTGTTCAGTTCGTTCACTTCTGCTTCGTGCCGGAGACCAGGTCGACAATCATGCTTAACAAGGTAGCCAAGAAGCAACGCAAGCAGAACCCAGATGCCAATGTCGTCGGTCCAACCGAGACGGAGAAGCTGAACCTCAAGAAATGCGGCAAGATCATGGGTCGGCCATACAAGATGCTAGTCTGTGAACCGATCGTTGGCTTCCTGTCGCTGCTCAGTGGATTCAGCGACGCCCTCATCTTCAGTTTCCTCGAGTCATACGGCTATGTGTTTGGCAAGGATGGATGGGGCTTCACTCCTAGTCAGCTAGGGCTCGCCTTGTTCGCTCTCTTCATCGGCTACTGGCTAGCAGCAGTGCTATACGTACCCGTCATCCGAAAACATAATCAGCAGCGCAGCAACGGGAAAGTGCTGAGTCCCGAGAGCCGACTATCAGCCCTCCGCTGGATCGTCCTGCTCCTGCCGATTGGCCTATTCGGGTCAGCGTTTGTAGTATCTGGCCCACCCCTTCCCTGGATCGCGCCCCTCATCTTCGCGGTCCTGATCGGATGCGCAAATCTCGCCATCTACTTCGCCACGATCGACTACATGGTTGCCGCGTACGGAGGCACGTATTCCGCGTCAGCCACCGGTGGCAATGGCTTCGCCCGAGACGTTCTTGCCGGTATTTGCTCATTCTACACCGGTCCGATGTACAAGAAGCTCGGTGTCACAAATTCGACTTGGGTCTTGTTCGCCATCTCCGCTCTCGTTTGCGCCCCGGTCTTCTTCATCTACAAATGGGGCCCTACCATGAGAGCTAAGAGTCTGTATGCTGAGCGAATCCAGCAGGAGAGGGAAAAGAACGCCGCTGCCAAACAAGCAATGCGGGAAGCTTCAGAGACTGTGTCTGAGGTGCAGGCATGAAATGGGATGGAAGAAGATGTTGTGTTGTCGTTATTTTTAGGTCCATCGCTCGTCTACTGTTCGTTTTGTGATACCCAAGAGGGTCATAGTTTTGGGTTGCGCGAGTTACTGGTAGAATACTGTAGATATCCTAATGGACATTTTACCTTCGTCACGTCACAAGTGAAAGCTCATCGTGAAAACGTGTCTCTGGGGATCTACCGGATGCCCAGGAAGAGTTTCGGCATGGGAGAATGAGTATAATAGGTGGTTGCGGGTTGGGGATCCTTGGCCAGGTTGATAGTGGTAGTCGTGAAGCTCTGAAGTCGCAGTTTTGGTCCATGCAAAGACGCCAAGCTTAGTGCAATAGCATGGTAACATTAGAAGGGTGACTTTGTAGTTTGTTGTGACGCTGAAATCAGTGATGGGTGATGCCTGATCGCGATTGCTGGGGCCGTGAAGAGGAAGCAGGAGCGCTAGCTACGGTGGACTAAATCAAGTTATTAGGCAACAATTATTTTTACCTAAATTACCTATTTTAGCTATTTTTAGCCTATTATAGTACTACTATAGCTAGTATATTTTATATAAAATAAGTATTACTAACTAATTTATATATAGTAAATATATTAAGAAGAATAAAATTCTATAATAATAGTTATAAGTTATTAAGCAGAAATCCAAATCTTAAGTAGTAACACTCGTAGCTCGAAGAGCTACTAATAATAGTTATAAGTAGTATAGAAAAGAGTATAAAATAAGCTATTAGTATTAAAAACTTTAAGCTAGTATTCTAATTATTCTAATTATTTTAATAGAAAATTAAAATCTAAACTAGTATTAAGTACTTTATTATATACTCTCTTTTACTTTACTTTTACTTATTTATATATTATTTTTTTTTAAAAAATATAATAGTTTAGTTTCTAGACGTTAAGTTTATATTAGCCTAATAGCTTATATATATATATTTAACTTCTAAGTACTTTTTTTAAGCTTTACTATAATAATATTATAATTTAATATAATATTATTATCTAATTTTTATATAACTCTTATATATTATTATAGTTTTTTTATTCTCTAATAGTAGCTTAGTAAGTTTAGCTAGTTACTTCTATAAGACTTATACTAATAATTATAACTATATTACTAATTCTCTAGTTTTTAGTTAGTAACTCTTTTATTAAAAATATTTCTAACTTTCTTTTTTATAATACTAGCTCTAGTTAAATTATAGTAAACTTTAAAGCTACTTTAGTAACTACTACTTTTAGCGCTATAGCTTTCTTATTTACTAAACTAACTACTATTTTTACTACTTATAGTTAGCGTAGTAACTAGTAGTAGTAATAGTCTTAGTTCTTATACTACACTACGTAGAACTCTACTACTACTATAGCTTTTAGTTTCTAAAACTCTTATTATCTTTTCTACTTCTATAGCTTTTTAAACTTATATAATA